CTCCTTCCTGTGAGGGCAGGGAGCATCAGAGGGGGCACGGGGGAGCAGCCGTGGGGTGCAGGAGCCTCTGGGTCCTGCTGTGGGTCTCCGTGCTCGGAGCCACGTGGGACTGGGGGCACTGGGATGGGGAAGCTGGGGGTGCGGTGGACTGGGGTCCCACCATGGGCACCCGTGGTGAGAGCACCCACGGGGCTGGGGGCACTGCAGGGTGCAGGGGGCTGTGGGTCCCACCATGGGCACGCGTGCCAGGGCCAGGCTCATGGGTCCCGTCCCGTGCCCCTGCCCTCACCGCTGCTCCTCGATCATCCGCTCCTTCTCCCTGAAGCGGAGCTCGCGCTCAGCTGCCTCCCGCCTCTCCTCCTCCATCCGCTCCCGCTCCCAGCGCTTGCGCTCCTCCAGCGCCCGCCGCCGCTCCTCCTCCTTGCGTTGCTCTTCCTCGCGCTGTGGCCACACCGCACTCAGCACCAGGACCCCCACCGGGCTCAGCCCCCGGCACCCTCATGGCCTGAGCCAGCAGCTGGGACCCCGGTCCTGGAGATGCCAGGGGGGCTCTCAGGGATTCACCCATGCCCCCCCCCATGCCCCCTGCACCTCACCTCAGCCTGGGCCCAGAAGGAGTCCCGCTTGGTCCGGTGGATCTCCAGCGCTGGGTTGGTCTTGCGGTAGTTGGTGCCCTGCGGGGACCGAGCCGGGGTCTCAGGGCAGTAGCCCCGGGGGCCCCCCCCAGCCACAGACCCCTCAGGGAGGGCACTGGTAAGGGTGGGCGAGAGCCCCATCACCCCACCAGGTGCCCTCCTGGCTGGTCCCCATCCCCATGGGCACCCCACGCCCCCCCTCGGGACCCCCAACTCACCACCAGCTCCTGGGCATCTGGGGGGGGCACCCTCCTGGCGGGGGCAGCGGCGGGGGCCATCTGTGCCAGCGCTCGGCTCAGCCCCTCCTGCGTCACCTCCTCGGCGCGGCAGGCGCTCAGCACCACACTGGCCTCCTGCCGCCGAGACGGGACAGCGGCATCCCCCGCCCCAAGCACCCATGGCCCCCCCCCATGCTCTACTCCCCCCTGGGACAGATTTGCAGCCTCCCCAGGGAATCCTGGCGCCATTCCCTTGCCCACGCTCGCCAGCTTCAGATGTGGGGCTGGATCCAGATGTGGGAGCCGGATCCAGATGTGGGAGCCAGACAGATCTCTGGGGGCTGGGACATG